GACAGGGAAAGGGGGAGGGAAAGAAGAAGAGGAGAGAGGAGAGAAAAAGGGAGAAGTGGGGTAAGAGGAAGAAGAAGATGGGGAGGGGGAAGGGGAAGCAGATGGGGAGGGAGAGATTGACACTGGAGGGTTTTACACTGCTGATTTTGTTGATGGAGAATGGGAACATGAGCTAAGGAATGCTTCCAGAAGCTAAAACTGGGAAGAAAACACTTTCTCCTATAGCCTCTCAAAGGGACACAGCCCTGCTGACACATTGATTTTAGACCACCAAGACTGATTTTGTACTTCTGAACTGTAAGATAACAAATTTGTATTGTTTCAAGCCATTAAATTTGTGGTAAATTGTTATAGCAACAATAGGAAACAAATACATCTTACCTTTCTTATTCACTAGAATATGGGCTGATTGATGGTGAGGATCATGTAATTATACCCTCTTTGGCCATTGGTCCAGGCAAATTATATGTGTTTTTATGCAGTATTGATGTAGGTATACATGTACATGTCTATTTACAAGTAGAGACATTTATATATATACACACACACAGACACACACACACATACATATGTGTATATATATGTATATACATATATATGCATATTGTGCTTTAAAGAATATTTTAGGATTGTTTAGTGTTTTGGTTTATAAAAGAACAAAAAACTAAGTAGTTGGACTGAGGTTTAAATCCAGAATCATCATGCCCCAATGCTTTTTATCATACCATAATGTTTTCTAAGTTTCTTTTCCAGCATTAATATTTTTCAAAATAATTGACCACCTAAGGGACACACTACTTACATCACTAAATATTTTAGACTAAAATGTAATTGTTGGTTTAAACTTTTTTTTTTTGATACAGAGTCTCACTCTGTCACATTGGGTAGAGTGCAGTGGTGTTACTATAGCTTACAACAACCTCAAACAACTGGGCTCAAGCAATTCTTCTGCCTTAGCCTCCCAAGTAGCTGGGACTACAGGTGCACCCACTATGCTGGCTAATTTTTCTATTTTTTGCAGAGACAGGGTTTCTCTCTTGCTCAGGCTGGTCTTGAACAACTGGCCTCAAGCAATCCTCCTGCCTCAGCCTCCCAAAGTGCTAGGATTATAGGTGTGAGCCACCACACCTGGCCAGTTTATTGTTTTATGCTTGGGTGATTATTAGTATGGTAGAACTATTCAAACAAATTAAGTCAGTAGAAGTTGCTTTAAGGAAGAAGGTGATGGGGTAAGATTTAAGTATATAATTGTAAGTAAAGTATGGTAATAAAAATCATATGACTAATATTATACTAAATGTTTTATATGATAAATGATACCTATAGCCTAAAAGACAACTAGACTAAAGGAATGATTGGTTTTGAAAATTATTAAGCTAAAAACATGTTTATGTCCTATTGGTATTGGTGAAAAGAACAAATTCATTCTAAAAAATGTCTAAAAAGTAAAACTCTTAATTACTCTTTTCTTAGAAGAAATAGGCAAACCACACTCCTTTGTGAAAGATTTGTGTCTTTTGACCTTATTACTAACTTCGAAGGACTCTGGGAGTCAAATGTCTTTATACCTTTAAGTTTTACAATGCATTGTTAGGGGAAAACCAAGTAAATAAAAATGAATAATAAAAAGTAAAATCTTGAATTACCTGAATTTTTCGAAGTTTATTCATTTGCTCCTCTAGCTTTTGACAGTGTTCGATCAGCTGAGAGGAGAGCTTCTTCCAGCGTCCTTCGATCTCTTCAAATTCTGATTGATATTTCTGGCTAAGTTCAGAGGGAGCTTTCTTTGATATCTCTTTCACAGTGGTGCTGAGATAGTTTAGTCCACTTTCTTGTTCTTGCAGAGAACTTTGTAAAGCCTCAAAATTTAAAAAAAAAAAGTTATATTTATGCTAATGGATAAGTAATTGATGAGTTTCAGTTAAGTGTATTAAAGTGAAATCTGTGTGATTCAATCATCTAAACAAAGTACATGATTTAATAATATCAGTTATATAAACTATTGGTAACTTAAATTCTACATTTTATTATAAGAATAACTGGCACAATATTTAGTGATATTTTATTTAACAATCCATGCTTATTTTTATAAACAATGCCAAATATATTCCAAACTATATCTTATTGAGCCAAAGGGTTTTAGCATACCTAATTTTACTTAATTAATTATATATAAATACTGCAATTATGATACAATTAATGGAATTTAAATTAACTATAGTGAGCCTTCAGTAAGACAACCATTAGACTCTCTACATAAAACTATAATTATATTGATATGTAGGGTAACAAAACTTATTAAATAAGTTACCAGATTGATGGCCTACTAATACCAGTAAATTAAAATTTTATATTTATCAAAAGATGTTATTTTGTTTTGGAGTATTATAGTTAAATTATAGGGTAATTGTGGGAAGAATTTATAAAGCTTATTTTACATTTATCCTGCTTAACCTATGCAATCCTCTATAGTAGGATGCCTATCTTTAGGCTTCTCCTACTCAATATTTACTCAAATGCTACTTTCTGGTTATAAAGTAATAAAAGTTCATGACAAAAAATGAAAAAAATACCAGCTTACAACTATTGACTTTATATAAACTTTCAGATTTTTTTCTATACACGACTAAATGTTGGCTGGCTTATCATATCATATACACACATAGACAATTATTCCTTCTTACATAATGTGACTATATCATCCAAAAATTGTTAAATACATAACTTCTATGGTTACGTAGTATCCTATGCACATTTTGTGGTACTTAATTTGATATTTTTTACTTTGTATTTATTTTACTTTATTAAATTGTTCCCCTATGATGGATTATTAGACAATGTCTAGCATTTATTTGTATTTTGAGCTAGGCATTTTATTGTAAGCATTTTCCCAAGTCATTGGGTATTTTTCAAAAGCAAAAATTGCAATGGCTTC